ATTATTTATATTCAAATGTTTCATTGAATAAATTACTTAAATAATATAAATTAAGCCTAAGCTGAAAAAGGAACTCTCGGGAAATTATTGGCTCAATGCAGAATACTAACGTGCTACTTATGAAATCCTGGTTCATGTGTATCTGTGTACGTATATCTGTATCTGTATGATAAATAAATGAGGAAACACTTTCTTCAAGAAATGCATTTTATATCTTGAACATTGGTTTTTGTTTTAAAGTCAATAGCATGTTTAAAACATTAATTAATCATTGCGTCCTCTCCAATTCTGAGGATTGACCACTATGATTCTCTATTTCTCTCTATACCTCACTGGCAATCACTGCCTGCATTAACTTTCCAATTATATCTTCTCGTTTCCAACCCAGTTTCTAATATCCTCGAGCCAAGTGAGTAAATGTCTGCCTCTCACTCCTCTTCCTCTGATCTTGTCCATCAGAATCTCTGCCAATCTTCCCTCAGATCTAATCACATGCCCAAAATAGCGCATCTTCCGTTTACTACATATATCCGCTAGTTGTTCTTTCCTTTTTTGTCTTTACACATTCCGTTACTTACTCATTAGTTTAATCATTCTTCTATAGCACAATATTTCAAATGCTTCTAAATGTCGTTTTGCTTCAGTAGGCAGGATCCACATTTTCATCCTGTAGAGGAGGACTGGCCATACATTACAATTTAGTAGTTTCTTCACTTTTAGTTTGGCGTTTCTTCCGAACAATTCTTTAAGATTGAAGAATGCTGTTTTGCCATCCTTATCCATCGCTTATCTTTTTTCCAAACTTGCTCTCGCTATTGATATTCGTCCCTAAGTAAAATAACTTCTCTATTTGTTCCAACTCTTTACCTGTTTGCTTTGATGTATACTCTGAGAGCTTCAACATATCATGACACTGACATTGTATATTCTGAGAGCTTCAACATATCATGACACTGACATTGTATATTCTGAGAGCTTCAACATATCATGACACTGACATTGTATACTCTGAGAACTTCAACAGATCATGACACTGACATTGTATATTCTGAGAGCTTCAACATATCATGACACTGACATTGTATACTCTGAGAGCTTCAACAGATCATGACATTGACATTGTATTAGTTTTGTTGACATTTATTCTGAGTCCATAGTCTTTTATTTATCAACAAACCAGCCAGTAGCTGTTGTATATCTTCCCCAGATTCAACCAAAAGTGCTGTATCATCAGCCAAGCTATTATTATAGATTCGATTCCCATTGACCTTGATTCACTCTGTATCACTAATTGTCTCTGTTATCAACAATTCTGAATACAAATTATATGGTGTCAGTGGCAGAACATATCCTTGTCATACTCTTTTCTTAACTACAAACCAACTGATTAGTTATCCTTCAATTCGAACTGATTTCGGATCCTGATATCTGCTTGCTCTACCAGATTTCTGCTGCAAGATCTTTGTTAATTTCTCATGCTTATCCATGCATCAACAGCATTTTCAAACTCTATGAAGCATGTTTAAATTTTTATTTACATTTCGATTGCTCTTTCACCTAACATCTTAAGACCGAATATGTTCTCTTACGTGTCAAGATCTCTTCTAAAACCATCTTGGTCTTCTGACAGCTCATTCTCAATCTTATGTTTAATTAAATGATGATTACTTTTGACCATACTTTTGAAGTATGACTGATCAAGCTGATATTGTATTGACCACACTCCATATCCACAAGTTTCTCGAGGATTCCCCCCTTTCTTTTCCTGGCAGGCATTTGGATAATTAAGAACCCGGGGTGCTAGAAGATTCAGCAATCCTTCTACGTTCATTCTCGATAATTGACACACCTTTTAAAGTTTGTTAGCAATGTCTTTCTTCTATACTTTGAGTAACAAATTACATTCAGATATTTAGTTTCTAAAATTTCCATTTTCTTAAAGAGGTGTCTCCTGGAATATTGTTTATGCCGCTAACTTTTACAATATTTAATCTTCTAATGGATTCATATACTTTCCTTTCCAGAATTACTGGACTGTTATTAATTTGTTCTACCACTTTTAGGGCTAGTTTCCCTTCCCTGACATACAATTCTTTTACATGCAACGCCACCTTTCTTCAACATCTCTAATTTTAAAGAATATCCGATTGTCTTTACTTTTGTGGCTTCACGGGAAGACAGTTTTCTATTCAACTATTTTTATTCTTCTGTTCAATGGTTCCACATCACACAACACTAGAAATTAAGTGGACAGTACATTTAAATCACTCTAGAATATTATATTAAGATATGTTTGAAACAGTCATATGTAATTGAATATTTGCACGCTTCACGCGTCCTGCTGTTAAATTGCATGATTGCATGGGCACTTGCCACCCATCCAGAAGATATTATCTTCAGCTTTAATCACTTGCTGATTTGATGTTTTTGATTAACATATTACCTTTAGTTATTCTTTCAATAAAATTTTGTAACAAGTTGCTTACTGGTTTTGGGAATGGTTTTTTTTTTATTATAATACAGACTGTCAGATCCTCTCAGCTACTAAAAACTAGTGTTAACTGGGCCCTTTTCAAGTCCACAGAGTTAATTCTACAGTTTACATTAGCGTTTACAGAAATCACTAGCACTGACAACAAAGTTATTCGACATCTGTACTCTTCACAAATGAATTAAGGTTTTATGTGTCTATCTATCTACAAGCCTGTCTCTGGAGGTAAACAATTTGCTCTGTGAGATTGTTTCTGTCGTGGTATGAGGAAAAATATATATGAATAGATCTTACTGTGTTGTTGAAGAAATAGATTTATTGTTAGACGATACATTAACGTTTTATTGGACCCGGTTTACAAAGTTTCGAGAGTGAATTCAAATCAGACTTTATCCAGATGCAATGGTGACAGGTTTAGTCTAACCCGGTTATCTGATTTCCTTAGTAAGACAGGTGCAAGTCAAACTATATACAAAGCACCGTGGAAGTAATCATAGGAAAAAAATACCTTCAAATAGTGTCGAGGAAGGAATTTATTCAACTTGGACATTTTAGTCCAAAGATTTATTAAATTACATTACAACATTATGGAAAATGAAAGGCTTGACTTTAGACCATCGCAACCTAAATCACGTGACTAGTATCACGCTACGTCCTTCTCGAACCTTCGTGAATTATCGGGAGACTACTAGATTGGGGGTAGCCTGGTATATATAAGATGGTCACAACGTGACGGGACATTGTGTAATTGAATTGAGCACTTTATGGCAAACACTGCTTTTTACAGTAGATTTCAAAGAACAAGATATTTGAGTGCTTTCAGATAGTTGAATATTCTTAAGGAGTAAAAGGATAAAGGATGGAGAGTGTGATAAAGAAGTACATGTAATATTAGGAGAAAAATTTTGTTGAGTTAACACTGAAAACTGACCAGTTTTGATTGGAGATTGAAGGGTGTGACATTAAGCAACAGAAATGTTGAGGTCACCTTGGCAAGTACTTAGGATCAAATGATGTGTACTTCTTTTTCATAATTATTACCCCACACTCTATAATCTTTACTGTTTTCACTTCTGAAGAAGAATAGTCAAGTATTTGAAAGCACTCAAGTTTCTGGGTATTTTATAATGTACTTCATTTTTTTTTTGGTTGATCTTTTGTGCTAATATTTTCATCATGACTATTGTTATCAGCAATTTTGCAATGTTTTACAAGATGGCAAATACTAAATATTAAAAACACAATAATGCCAAAAAACATTTTTTTAATATAAATGTTTCGTAATTACCTTAAATTTCATCATCAGCATTAATGTCTCAAAAACAAAAACAAAATTACTTAATATGATGCAACAGGTGTTGTCAATAGCATAAAACAAGTTAGTAGTTTGAGGGTTAAATAGGTTTTTCCAACATTATTTCATGTATGTAGCTAAGAAATTTATCAATACATTACTACTTAGCTTAGGACAAATAAACTAAATAAAACATAAACTGACTGAAAGGTATTCTTTAAACTTTCAAATTGATAAAAAAAAAGCAAACACTAAAAAAAGGAAGAAAAATAATTTAAAGCATGGACAAACAAAAATATTATTTTAGCTTTGGGAAAAGACTTGTTTCCTAAAAATTTCATATTGGTTAACTTCTATTTCTAGTTTTGTATATTTATTCTGGACAAATAATTTTTTGATTTTTAGCATAAATAGCCTCCATTTGTTGGAAAAATCTGTTTTGTTAACCTGAGTTTCAGTATTTTTTATTATATATTAAGGATTTTTATCATATTACTAATTAATTCTAATTTTCTTTCTGTCTTATCTTTTGTAATCTTAATGCAGTGTATGAGGATGTATTCATTTTGTATTAGTCTTAAGGTTTTGATTTTTATTGCTCTTTTATATATGGTATTCACTAATGAATTTCAGTTTTACAAATATAGCTAATAGACTAATTCTTTCCAGCTTACATAGCTGTAGGGATTATTGTATTACTAATATATCTACTTGATTTAAAGATATCCTATTTTTTGTAGCTACTAAAAGTTATGGTGTAAGATAAAAGTTAATATTTAGCCACTATTTTGTGATAAGTTGGGGTTCTTTAATCATCTGTCTGATGGTTTTTAACCTTCCATAAAATGGTATTTCATGTCATTTCCATGAAAGAGAGTCGAAGGTTGTCTGGAGGAGTCACCTGTTTTATACTCTCACACCACTATACAGTAGTATGCTGTCTGTCAGTCAGTCAATTAGTAGACACTAAAATGACATCATATAAGGGATGCTTAATATTGCAATTTGTACTATGGTGACATCAGTAAAATGTGCACATGCCATGAATCACAAGAAGAATTATGCACTCTGTAGGCTGCAACACAGCATGACATATGAACTTCAAAAGCAAGAAATAAAAATGCTTGGTACTCTTGATTTTGGTTTTATTTACTCTTAAAACAGAACTCTTTCGGAGACCCTGCAGAAGGACATCTAGTAATAAATTATCAGTATATGTATATATTAGAATATCCAGCTACATATTTCTATACATTTCTCTCTTCTTCAGAAATATCTTTCAGAGTTTGGCAGTGTAATGGTAGCCTTGAAATTATTCCATGTAGCAGAGTAGGCCATGTGTTTCGTAAGCAACACCCGTATACTTTCCCAGGTGGCAGTGGTAATATCTTTGCTAGGTAAGAGAAACTTAATTTTTTGGTATCTTTCATCATCAAAGAATGTAATTCAACAAGTTTTTTCAGGACAAACACAATGATTAGATTTTCAGTGTATCTGAAAATTTACAAAACTTCAGCTTAAGTGCATGAGTGAACTACAGTTTGAAGCATTTTTGCTCTCTATTACTTTACAAATACATTATTGTTTTCCATTTAAATAAAAAAAAATTGGAGTGAAGTAAACACTTTAAGCCTATATAAGTATACCTATTAACTTTAGTTTAAGAATTGTTTTAAATTTTTTCATTGTTATGTTGTATTGGGATTTCACATCTAGAGTTTGAATTTGGCTACATTATCAAAGGAGGTTGACTTAAGATTGTAGGAAATTCAAAGTACAGGAACTGTTATTGCAATTGAGAAACATGGTTCTAAATCATTCTCAGAATATACCTTATAATTTGTTGCTATAAACATTGTTTTATGTATATCATTTTCAGAAATATATGTGAGTTTATGTACACGTTTTGTGCAGCAATATATCAAACGTGTTCACAAATCTTCATGGGAAAAATATTGTTTTTTAAAGTTATTAAAATACTTAATAGTTCATTAATAACTTTTTTTTGTATATTGTATTTCCAAAAATATTTCACAATAATTGTTACGAGATAAACATAGAAGAATATTGAAAGTGTTTCTGGTTTAAAAATTTGAAAAAGCTAAAAAAGGAAAGATATACTTTCTCTAAACTTTAGTTATCTTTATCTCCCTGGGTTATCAGGTCCATAAGCATGTTGCAGTATATTTTGTATCCCTCTCTCCAGATCTGATATGCTGAAGCTGACTCTGATGTTACTGTGCAGTTTAACACTCCTTTTGAGTTTCTTTTCTTTCTCTTTGCATTTGTGTTTTATCTTCCAGTAGAAAGCTTACTTTGGAATTCTGGTGTATTTCATTCTCAGAACATGGCCCAAGTAGGTCCATCATCTCTTTGGTGCAGTTTTTGGAGTTGGATCTGTCTTCTCTCTAATTAAAACCTTCAAACTCTTAATTTCTACTGGTTTGTTTTGTCTTAATGGATATCCAGGCTTCTGATCCATAGAGAAAGCCTGAAAGAACATTGCTTGGGAATATTCTTATTTTGGCTTATGATATGTTGTTCCTATATTTTCTTTGATTTCTAAAAAGATTGATTTTCCATTTCACATCAGTGGTAATATTTCCATTTTTATAGAAGATGCTGCTAAGTTAAATGAATTTTTACAATTTCTTCAGAGGCTCTCCTTGAGTAACTAAATGTTGAGTTGAAAAATAGCAGAATATAAGAATCTTACAACATAACAGTGCACTACTGTACTGGGTAGAATAGTGTAAAGTCGATGAGTATGGGGGCAAATAAAGCATGGCATAAATTCAAAGAATGTTTTTCTTTATCATTGAAAGATCCTCTGTTGTTTATCATAACAAAGTACAATACCTCTAGGTATTAAGCCTAAGTTTATAGAATAATTTGTTTATATTCCATTCAGAAATACTAAACGAGCAGCAGAGGTGTGGATGGATGAATACAAGAAATATTATTATGCTGCTGTACCTATGGCAAAAAGTGTCCATACAGGCAAGTAAGTAACATTAAATAAAAAAAATTATGTGGGTGTATTTATTCTGTAGCAAATAATAATAATAATATAAAATGAAAAATTATATTAAGTAAAACCAGACAGGATATATTATGATGTGCCTACAAGCAGTTGAGTATGTTATATTAAAATGATTTTGAATATGCAAATGAGCAAGTCACCTAACACCGACAACCGATATAAAATTACTGTAGAATGGAATGTTTCAGAACTACAATTTGACAATGTTTGGTGTTTTTTTAGATTGTACGATACCAGTTCAAATTGATTGCTTTTTTGGGAGAATATGTAACAGTCCTTTTTGATGTAAAATATTCATATACTTGCTATGTAAAAACATATTCACATCTGAGTTTTAAAATTTCAAAAACTTGGATATCCTTTATACTTAATAGTACTAGAAAGCAAAGGAACATAGATCAAGTTAGGGCACCAAAACCATCCAGAAAGGGACCTACAATAAATTTTAACTCATCCATGAAAACCAAAGTGCGACATCTTGTAATGGATGAGAATCCGTAGATGCAAAACTGAATGGCAGCATTCATCCACATGCCCCAGGCAACAGTACACAACATAATCAAGAAGGATCTCTGTCTGGAAATGCAACACAAGTCACATGTTTCCATAACATATTTGTTCAACTCTCACATATCTAAAGCAGTTGGAGAATAAAGTGGGTATTCACATTATTCCATGTGAAGACATAATGTCAAGTCACCAGATTTAGCACTTGTGGATTTCTGTGCCAGTTGAACTGTTGAAATGGGCACAAGTAAACAATCATTGTTCAGGTATATGGTTATCAGATAGAGCATGACTGAACATAGCAACATGGACTGTAATGCCATGGTGAGGTTCCAAAATTCCTTTAATATAATGTACTCAATCTCTGTATGCCTACACTTTCAAGTAAATAACATCAAATGAAACATCATGGTAAGGCTGTACCTATTGTCAAGTAACATCAAATGGAATATTATTATGTGGCTGTACAAACACTGCCAAATAGTATAAAATAGAATATAATGATGTGGTTGTACCCTCACTGGCAAGTAGAACTAAGCAATTAATGATAACCCCCCTCAATACAAGGGAAAAAATAGAACTGGGATGCTTGTTTAATGACTTTTTTCCAACCATTGCATTTTTCTGATATAGTATTCATTTACCTACTTTCATTCATCTCGTCTTGTTTTGTTTTTTGGTACTTTTCAAGCTATATTGATTTCATACAATAGACATCTTCTGAACGTCACCATTTTCACATTGTTTGTTTTAAAGTATGCAGTAATCCTCCCACTGATCATCTTGATAATTAAAATTTTAAAATATGTTTTATTATCACCAATAAGAGTAATAATGTTTTCATTTAAAACATATCATGATTGCAGTTATAAATAATCAAGCAGCTAGTTAATCAATTATTTATGTTCATTGTTTAAATAGGATAGACATATAGTCAAACCCCAAGTTACGAGTTACACAGGGGATACATTCCTGAAAAACACCATGCAAGTTAAAACCGTATAACTAAAGGCATTAAATCTATGGAAAATAGGAGGATAGGGACCTGAGACTAAAATTTGATAACCTTATTTCATAATAAAAGGGTATTTAAACACAAAATAATAGAATTAATAGCCTTATTAAAACTTTACTCACAAATTACAAATTAATAAATTCCTTTATACCTACAAATTACAGAACAAATTATTAACCAAAAAGGATGGAAAATCTGCTAGGGTACAAGAGGTGATGATAATGCTATGGAAGCTGAAAGCTAACTGCCTGTCTGTCTGAGGGGCATATTCCAAATCAGGCTGGAAAAAAATGTTAAAAGATAAAATTATACTTCTAATTGCAAACGTGCAAATTGGAGTATGGTGACAAAAGTACTAATAAAACATTGTTGAACTTATTAAATAAACATTATTAGAATTAGCAGGAATATAAAAAAGTAATTAGAACAACTAAAATTGGATTCAGAAATGTAAACACAGGAAAATCATAGTTATAAATTCACCTAATAATAAGATGATAATACGATAAGTTAGTACAATATAATAATAATAATACAGAGAAATAATTATGGAAAGGAGAAGACTTTCACAAAGGTAGGGTTGATGAAGGAGAGTTAAGGTAAAGTTAATGAAGGAGAGTTAAGGTAAGGTAAATGCATCTAGGGAAAAGGTGAGGGATGAAAAGAAGGGGGGAATTAACGGAAGGGTTGGTGGAGTTTAGTAATTATATAAAATAAATCTTTTGTCTAAACCATAAAGGGACCTAGTGTTAAGTTGGAAGATAAGACGATGTTCAAGGTTTTCTCATTTTAATATGAGTGGCAAATTTCTCATGACTGAGACTAGCCTGTTGACGTTTTTTATTTTTTGTGTATTTGTAGCATAACAGTTTTTTAGCCTAATTCCACTGTAACATGGTTTACATTGTCTGATGAAGAGTGTATGCTAGAAATGTCACATTAATAACCAAAAAATTTTAATTTAGACATGTCAATTTATTCATTATTTCACTTATCCAAGTTTTTCTTATCACGTCTTGCGTAATAACATTCAAAACTCCAAATCAACAACCATTCTACCACGTAAACGTGAAGCAGGGTGTCGCATGAGTTGAAACAGTGGTCCCATTGTATAAAGTGTGTATACGTGAATCAGTGCAACTTGAACCCGTGTAACTTGGAGTTGGACTGTAACAATATTCAATAAAGATATGAGTCATTGAATGTTTTGAAATCGCCTGCCTTACTCACTAAACAGTAAACTTGACTAAGCGTATTTCATTTAATGATGATTTGATTTGATAGATATAATTTTTAAAAACCATGTTTAAAAACATTGCAACTCAATAAAACCATAGTATAAAAAGTAAAAACACCATAATTTTAAACAAAGAATGAAGCATCAATAACATACCTTTATTTAAGTTTTAAGCAGTCTCCAGTCATGTGACCTATTTATTTCATACCCTGTGTGTGAATGCATGTATATGTAGAACCATGTCTTTAGACTTCAGGCACAATAGTTCAGTACTAAGTTACTTTTTTTGTTTCATGAACTTTGTACATGTAAATGCATCATAAATGCAATTCAACTGTATTGTCTAACATTTAAAAACAATAACAAAGTTATCCACTTATTAACCTGTTGCAACAACTGTACACTTTTTCAGACTTATTATTCTAGTATTGTTTCACATGTTCATAAGTTTGTTTACGACAAGAACATTTGGGCCTTAAGTGTTGTTTATATAACTAAATAGTTACTCAAATGCTTGTAACCAACCAAGGAAAATGAGTAATTGTAACTGATTTTATTTAATAGGCAAAGATGTACTTACCAAAATTAAAAGTTCTATACTTTTTTTATTCTTCAAGTAGCCTCAATTTAAAGCCAAGCAGCATACAAATTAGAGTAACAATGTTTAGCTTCTCCGCACTAGCTACAGTAGTATTTCAGTTTTAAAATGATAGTATGGTATCAGTTAACTTTTTAAAAGTTAGTTGTGTAAGATTGTAACCAAATTTTCAGTATTTTTTTATGTGAAAGAAGACTTCGACTATCTTGGATTAATCATTGTCGACCATATAGTCCCAAAGTAACCTAAATGGGTCAAACAAAGTTAAAATAATTTAATAAGTTAATGATATTAAAATAAAAACCAACATTTCAAATTAAAGTGAAATAGTTATTATTATTTATAACCATACTTAATAAAAGAATTACAGCATCGGTAAAGAGAATGTCTGTTTTCAAACATTTTTTTGAAAAGTTATACAGTCACACCACTTGTATTATCACTTATTTTAGACATTAACAATATGAACAACATCTTTCTTACCAGAAGCCTAACTTCTAAATAGTGAAAAATTAATTCTGTAGCAAGTCTATGTTGTAAGAACTGCAAGTTTCCTAAACAGTACTAACTTTTATGAAACCAAATCTCTAAAGTTTATACACATTGTTAGAGTGGAAAAAGCCATGGCAACATTTCATTAGGGCTTATATTGTTGTATTAGCTAAGGAATATTAGATTTTGACTGAATCCTTAATTGGATTCTGTGCAGCCCAGTTGTGTTGTTTTGTGTTATGGTAATTAATAGCCCAATCAAATAAAAGCAGACATCTGATGCTTCTTTCTGATACTATATAGTAGTTTAAGGATGTCTGGCTGTTTTTTTTTACTAAATTCTGAAAACATTGAGGGGGGGGGTCTGAACCCCCTAGACACCCCATCTTGATCCATGCCTGTTTATACAAAATTAAAGAATACGAGTACACAATTTTAAATTAGATACATAACACAATGTAAACAAAAATATATACCAGTAAAAATACTATTTATTTATCACTTTCTTCTGATCAGCAGTTCAAAAATTAGTGTCAATGCAGATAGTCCTTGTAACTTTGCAATAATTGAGACAGGGTGAACAAGTTTGATAATAATGGGATTTGAACTTGAGACCCTCAGATCACAAGCCCTCCCCATTATTTAGGTTTGTACTTAACAAACAGTGGCAATATTTGATTACATGAAGTGTTAGAATAAGCATAAACAGCAGTAATTGGAAGCCTTAATTTTGATTGGTTGATCATTGTCATGACAGTTGATAGAATTGGAATGTCAATTCATCGATTGTTGGAATAATCAAAAACAGTAATAATAATTAACACTTTTTTAACTAGTTAATTATATTCATGAAAATCAATTTAATGGTAATTTTGATAACTTGATTGTTGGAATAATCAGAAACACTAATTTTGATTAATCAATGTAATAATGATATTGATTAATTAATTAGTTTATGTGACAGTACTTGATGTAATTAATGCTTGTAAGTAAATGATTAAATCATTAACAAGAAAATGAAAATTAGACTCATAAAAAGAAAGATTATGGGCAGAGACTGATTGCTGTTTTCAGGAAATTATTCATTGTTCATTGTCTCTAACTTATGAAATCTGAAGCATCATCATAAAAACTACTTTAACAAATAATTAACTTAGTTTTTGCATCTAAACACCTTGAATCCCATATCTCAGAAGAAAATGTGTAGAAAATATGCAATCATTAACTTTTATTGACTCTAAGTTATGTTTCACACAAGACATGAACTTCTTTTAAAAATGTTAAGACTAAAAAATAAAGCAGAACTTTCATGAAAATCAATTTAATGGTAATTTTGATAACTTGATTGTTGGAATAACATAATAATAATGGGATTTGAACTTGAGACCCTCAGATCACATACCCTCCCCATTATTTAGCTTTGTACTTAACAAACAGTGGCAATATTTGATTACATGAAGTGTTAGCGTTTTAATTTAGTAACCTGCTATTTTAAAGCAACTTTCATGAGATACGCTCCCCAGTGGCACAGCGGTATGTCTGCAGACTTACAATGCTAGAAACCAGGTTTCGATACCCGTGGTGGGCAGAGTACAAATAGCCCATTGTGTAGCTTTGTGCTTAACTTCAAAACAAATAATCATGAGATATCTTGATAATCATTGGTAGTTAAGTACTTATTTTTTAAGAAGATTACCACTCAGTGTATGTCAAAAGTTAATTGCAAGTTAATTATTTTGCTTTTTTTTTTTTTGTTTCCTGCAAGTCCACATTATAGTTCCATACTAGATTTGAAGTTAAACAGATGATGAAATTTGATAGTATAATCGGTATGTGGTTTATAATCACTTTCAAATAGTTGGTTATTGAATTTTCATCAAGGACTTAATGCAGTCTAAACATCATTATTAATACATAATGTGTTACAGTATTCATGCAAGTGATCCAAGTAGTTCTAATGAAAAACATTTGTTATTGAAAAACTCTATTAAATCATATTGTGTGTGGATTTGTTTGTTTGGTCACATACTCCTTCCACAGTTTTGGAGCTAGCAGTACCAAATAAGTTTGATATGTGGACTCAGGGTGGGGGATATTCTCCCTACCAGGGGGGGGAGGCTAAAATGTGCCTGGAAGGTCACCCAGTTGTGATGCAATTCTAGGGTTTTCAGGGTCACTGAACCTGGCATTCCTGACCATTCCTCAAGATCACAGAGATGCCATGTTTGAAACTGTGTTTATCCCTCTACTCACAAGCTAACAGAACCAAACTTGACACACATGCTCAAGCATCACAGCCAAATGCCCTAATTTTTTTAAATACAGATACCCCTCCCCCTTTGGGGTATCTATAGAAATGAAATTGGGGATAATGCAGGACCTTGATCAGTACACTGGGGCCTGTGTGAATGAAGATGGAGTCTTTGAACCTCACAACAGAGCACGGGAATTCATGTGCTAGTAGATACATAAAAAAAGTAGCCACAGTACTGAATTCATTACATCACAGTCCGGACTCTCAAATTGTTTCAAAATTCTCAGTCGCATTCATGTTGTAACTCCTTCAGTGTATATTTTCATCTGTGTTTGTAAATGTTTAGCTTTTTTTTTTAAGTTGACACCTCTATCACTCTTACGTTAAATGCAATTTCAAGTTACTTGGTAATCAAAGAGAATGTTTCTTGTGGCATTTTTCTCTTTGACTGATATCGTTCAGGCAGCATATAAATTAGAAATCATTGATCCCTAATTTCAAATATGTGTAATATTTTTTAATGCTGAGTGTTAGCCAGCATCTCTCAAAGTTATCTGTGAGCTCTTATTTACTGAAAACACCCTTCTTTATTTTAACAGTGTTCAAGAATATTTGTTGCTTCTTCTTAAAATAAACATAATCCATGAATAATTATATTACAGCATTCAAGAAAGGCTCCAGTTACGTAGGGATCTGAAATGTAAACCTTTTAGTTGGTACCTGGAAAATGTTTATCCAGAATTAAAGTAAGTAGCAACCTACAAAAACATTGGCTTCTATTTATCTCTCACTGATAACGTTATGAAACTCACTTACTAGTAATCATAGAAGTAGATTTTAAAATATTTTATTCTAATATGTTGATTTTTTTATTTTGGATTTTGAACATGCTTAGTTTAAATACAATATTTTACCTCTACTGTAACCTCAAGCTATATCACACTGTTTTTCCCAAGGATTAGATATTGTTTTCGTATGTTTCATTTATTGCCTCCATTTGCAATATATAATATCAAGCAATATTTGAAGAGACAACATTTTTAATCATTCATCTAGCACCCTCTGTTGATGGAATCTGTAGACCAATCAATCTTTGGTGGTGTCTGAAGTATGGATTTTCTCTGTTGCCTGTTTCATGTTTTTTATTTACATTTTAATCTCCTGAATTAAGAAGTACAGATACTTCTTTTAAGGAAACAAATGTGGAAGTGATGAACCCCAACCTGCTGTTTTATTCTCTTTTGTTTATGGGATTCAACTATGCAAAGGATTGACTATCAGCTCTGGGTCTCTCCTCTAAATCATTTTTTAACTATTTTGTGCTTCAAGATGGAAAATTTTCACCAGTTATACATCCTCATGTGGAAGACCTTTTGAATAACAAGGTTAGATGTTACAGTATTTAATTTATTTACTTTTTCATTATTATCATTATTTCATACAAGGAAACCCATGTTTATTAGATCTAGACCCTTCTCTTCACACTGTCTTTGGCATCTTTTGTTTTCTTGAGGGTTGTCATAGCCAAGACATGCTATCTTCAATATATTGGAATATGTTTCAACACTTCTTGGATGTTTGGTTAACTCTTTCACCTTCCATTTTTTGTGCCTGTACAAATAAACAATGAACTCTGGCTTTTGTCATTAAGTTTAAGTTGAGTTATGAATGAATCTTATTTTCATTTAACTCTGTTTTTTTATCCATTGCAAAGTTTGATCAGTTCTTTTCCAGAAGATTACATCTTCCACCATGTGTTTGGTGGTTTTAGAGTCACTTTTTTTCCAGAAGGTTTTGGTATTAAAGACTTCTTTTGCTTATTAAATCCTTTCTGTGTTTGGAACTTTGGTGTAATGGCTCTTTTGATACCTCTGTTTATAGCACACTATGTCATGGTTAATGGCAATTAGATTCACAGTGAATGATATCCTAGGATAAACTCGCCAATCAAGTATGAGTTTGGTAGTTCTGCTCACGCGGTATGTGCTGTGGTTTGTATTTCTAAGTTCATTATACTACTCATGCCAGTCATGGGGCAAGCATTTGGGTGTTTTAGACCAGTGGTTTACAAACTGTGTGTCGTGATGCACTAGTGTGCTGTGGCAAGTTACTAGGAGTGTTGCAAGGGTTTCAACAAAAAAAGAATAAGAACATAAAAAAAAAACCTACAAAAAATATATTGTATGTGACAGCAGGGGTGTTGCACAAATCAAAGTAAGTAGGTTAGGGTGTCGTCAGTGAAAGAAAAAATGTTTGAGAACCACTGTTCGACATGTTGCACCTCCTACAGGTAATCTGAGCATAATACTTTGGTGAAAGCACCAATATTGTTTTTGATAATGTGGTTCTTCTGATTCCACTTCACCATTCTCTTGGTCTGTTTAAACAGGAGTTACAGGTGTCTTCATTTTCTCTTGGGCCCTTCCCTCATTTCAGTATAGAGATTCCACCTGAAGGTTATAACTTTAAAATTACCACCTCAACAGTGAAATATAATTTATAGGTAATTATATTTAGCATAACTATTCTTATCCTTCTTCCTACACTGGTGTATGTTTGAGAGAAAATATGATCATATAAGGTTCTATAAGTGCAAGGTAGACATGAAATAGAGAATATGATTGGCTTAGACATTCTGTCAATAGAGGACATGAGACATAATTACACACATAATATTCTCACAAATAATGAGGTTTGCACAAGATTATGTATTGTAAATAATGGAAAATAAAAAGGATAGAAAGGCATATTTCTTTGCATGAACAAAAAACAGCTCAATATTATAGTAGAGCTAAGTGTCTTTTAATTTTGTGCTATTAATGAAATATTAATTTTTTATCATCATCTAATTTCCTGTGCAGAAATAGAACAATGATAGAACAGTTAATTAATTTTTCGTACAAAACTGATAAGATTTGCCTAACCAATTTTCTAAAATAAAAATAGAATGAAGATAACTAACCAGTTCATTTTCTATATAAAGCTAGGCTAATGATGCTGAATTATCTAATTTTTCTAACATAAATAGAATGAAGCTGATATGGCAGTTAAACTTTTGTTTTTCTAATCTAGAGTAATGATTATAGTTAATTAAGTTATTTAACAGTAATAGTAGGATAATGATTCTCTTGGTTAATGGTTTGTCTGAAGCCATGATGCTGATGATGGTAAAACTAACTGTTTTAGAAGATAACATGAGGATGATGGTGGACAACTGATTTGTTGTATGAATCTAGAATAATGATTCTCTTAGTTAATGGTTTGTCTAAAGCCAGGATGGTGATGATGGTATAGCTAACTGTCTTTGAAGATAACATGAGGATGATGGTGGACAAGTGATTTATTCTTTACAACTAGGGTAGTGAGGCTGAATTAACTCTCTCGCTATGGTTAGGTTAAAATGTGCGTATCACAAACTTTCAGAGATTTACATTAAAAATGTAATTAAACTGCTTTATTATTATTGTATATGAGTAAATGTAACATCAAAACATAGTTAATAAATCAAATTTTAATATTATATAAGTTTTGAGTTCTTGATTTTATTCTAGAAAGAAGAAAATGGTAATTTAGATTTATTTCATATTTTTATGGTGGTTACGAGGTCAGTCAAATTGACCGATTGGGTATAAAATTAGGATAGGGAATATAACAGATAAAATATAAAGTTTTACAGAAAAAAACCTTTAGGAGGTTTTAGAGATTATGAAAATGAAATTTCACAATTTTCAGATAAAGATAAGTATTTTTAATCGTAACATGAAAATCACTTTGCATTCAGGGCAGTCAACACTCTGACTCCATATATTCATAATCACATTTTTCGTAAAAATAATTATTAAAAAAATCTAATTTTTTATGCACAAAAGATTTGTAATGTTTACTGAAAGCTTGTCATATTTCATGAAGATACACAAAATATATTAAAAGTGATAGTATGGAAACTGATGGTTACTTTGGGGTCATGAACTTGGTCAAATCGACAGAGCCTGTAGTGAAAGAGTAAATTGGTGTTTTTCTATGAAAATAGGATGATGGTCATTTAATTTGTTGTATACATCTAGAATTTTGGGCTAATTATTTGTGTGTGTAAAGCTATGACAGTAATCAGCACTTCTATTTCAAGTTATAAGAATTACTGTCGGTTGTATAGATTTTTGGCATAAATTGCTAAGTTATATTTTTTCTACATTTTAGAGACTCATGATTAACTAATATTTTATATAAATAATTGTTGAATAACTTACCTATGTGTCTGTTTTGTTTATTATTAAATGTTGGTATTTTATATCAGAATCCCTGATGATAGTGACAAAGAACATGGATCCATTCGACAAGGTGTTTTCTGCATCGATAGTTTAGGTCATGGTGTTGGAGAGACAGTAGGATTGTTTGAATGTCATGGAGCAGGTGGTAATCAGGTATATTTCCTCTTCATATCTTAAAATTTGAAGAACAATGTTATTTATCCAGTACAACGTTTCACCAGGATAACATGCATCATGTCGTACAGAAATTAGAATGAGTAAATTAGTAACCCATAAAACAATGGGAAACTAGCAGGTGTGTAAATTGTAATTTGGTTAGTAGGTAAAGTAGAGAAATGCTTTTGTAAATGTTGGGATATCATTGGAACCTTTAACTGTATTTACCCAACTAGTGCCTATTCCATTGGAGTAAATAAGAAAAGAAATAGGAGAAACAAGCACGATGTACAAGCATTACTGAAGCTGGACAAGCCCAACAGTGCTTGAAGCAATACATAATCTCATAGTAAATGTATATAAACTGATCAGGTTTATGATAGTGTATCTGTTTGTTTGGCCAGTGACAAAAGTCTAGTTCGTGGAAAGGGGTCATATCATGGTGCCTGACCTCAATTAAAGCTCAACTTTAGTGTGAAAATAGTAGGCTCAGTAATCTTAATTTTCTAATAAATTATTTTTGGCATCTTTAAGAGTAATATAAGTGTATAAACATATTTTGATTTAGATTAAGCATTACAATCTCCAGTCATTAGTAAAAAAAAGGAAATGAATTTTAAAATAGTAATTTTTTTAAATCTTTAATATATATATATATATGATGAAAATGGATAATAATTCGCCAAAAAAACACAACTAAGTTCTTAAAGCTGCATCATGTGTTCAGTTTGTTTACAAGTTATCTTCAGTTTGCTCACTAAATTAAAATAATGCAGTAACTTGTTATGTTGTGTCATTATGAAACCTGTTATACTAATAAAGAAATATGGTGTAGTTGGATTGCAATTATGTAACTAGTATACTAGTATGTATTTACATATTAGAATATGCAGAATCCCAATATCTTGTGGAACCACTGGTTGTTTGTCAAGGAATCTGAGGGTTCTGTGGAACCCTTGTTGAAGTGCACTACTCTGTAGGTTCCAACGCTAGTATTAGTTGGGGAAAATGAATCCTTTTTAGAATTAAAGTTTTAGCAAGGAAATGAAATAGACACCATTACATAACTACTATTACCCTCTTGCTTTACTTTTTTCACCTGTTTCTTTGGGTATGGCAGTTAGTAAAACAATATGAATTTTTTAATGCCAGCAAAAAGTACAAGAAAATGTGATAGATATGCTTCATTGTCATAGTAAATTGACTTATATGAGAGACGAAGGTTAAAAATTACAATGTTACAAGAAAAATAAAAAGTGTAGAGACAGATGAAAGGTCTAAATCTTGACATAAAAAAGCTGTTGTATTAATAAAAATGTTGAACTTGTTTAGCTTCTGAAATTATAATATTACCACCACTAACTCATTTCTTTTCCATTTATGACATTGCAAAGTATGTTTCTTAAAAAGTATAAGAAGTTCTTACTTATTAAACTTACAGACGTTAAAATACCAAAATAAGTGAAATATAAATGATATATCAGTAGAAGTTAGTAGTTTGAAAGAAAAAGTATTAGGAGTTAAAGTTGTTGTTTTTTCTTGTTAGAGATAAGAAATAGATTTAAGGAAATTTCATGCATTCTTAGCTTCTAATTACAGACAAATTTTATTTTGAAGGTAATACTTGTGTATATAACATCTTTTTTAGGACTGGGAAGTAACCAAAAACCAGCAGCTCAAGTTTCATAGTTTGTGTATGTTTGTCAGAGAACCAAAAATTGGATTTCCTGTAATTTTTCAACAGTGCCACAATACTAATAACCAGGTTAGTCTTTGTAAACTTTAATTTAATACCTTTCATAAACCCATATTTTAGATATAACTTATTGCTGGGCTATGAGTCTTGCTGGTTATACAATACCATATTGTTGCCAAACACAAAACATTACCTTTAGAAGGAGATAAAGCTAACAAACTGTCAACCAGATGTTCACTACATTTCACCCTCCACCATCTTATAATAACAGTAGTTAATGAGCTATCTCATACTTCACATAAGATCTTTCCACCAGTATCAACCTCCATTTGTATTTGCATGCACATGTCAGGTCAGTAAATCATATTTGTTTTCTTTAATATACTTGATTTTGCTGTGTGCTTTTTTTTGTTGTTGTTGTTGCCAACATTGGCAATGGGTATGACAGATATAGTGTGGTTGGAATACTTTTATTATCTGCTTACCTAATTCTTGAAAATCCCTAAGGGACTAAATAAAGAATGCAGTGTTAAAAAATATAATGAGCCTAATATCATATGACAAGTATAATTAATTATAATCATGCTTTGCCAGCTTGAAAAAGGTATTTACACTATAATCGTGTTTTTTTTGCCAATCTAAAATGTTTACATAACCTGTTGCAGGAGTAATGAATTAACTCTCTCACTACAGGCTCGGTTGTTTCAACCAAGTTTGTGACCCCAAAGTAACCATCAGTCTCCATACTATAACTATTGATATGTTTTGTGTATCTTCATGAAATTTGACAAGCTTTTAGCAAACTTTACAAGTCTTTTATAAGATTTTTAAGTAAGTATTTTTACTAAAAATGTGTCCATGAATATTTAGAGTCAAGAGTTGACTGTTCTGAATGCAAAGTGATTTTCATGTTAAGATTAAAAATACTTATCTTTATCTGAAAATTTTTAAATTTTGTTTGCAAAATCTCTAAAACCTCCTAAATAAAGTTCAAATGTTTGTTTTTAGTAAAACTATATCTTATGTTATTTTCACTACCCTAACTCTATACTCATTTGGTCAATTTGAATGACCTTGTAACCACCATAAAAAAAAAAGAAAAATCTAATTTACCATTTTCTTCTTTTTAGAATAAAATTAAGAGCTTAAAACTTATATAGTATTAAAATTTAATATATTAACAGTTTTGATGTCACATTTATTCATATAGAATGAAAATAAAGCAGTTTCATTACATTTTTAATGTAACTTTCTGAAAGGTCATAACGTGTGCACTTTAACCTACCCATAGTGAAAGGGTTAAATCAATCTATATTGTTGCTATTGTACTCCCAGGATGTGGATGGGTGAATAGTGAAACCATGCATATTTTAATTGATCTTATGTATCTGACTAGCAAAATGTTAAAAGTAATTAAAAAGAGGGAAGGCTGTGAGTTTGAAACTTGCTTGCAGATCATAAAATGCTATGAATTTTAATTACTCAAACACACGATAACCTGGCATGTACTAACTACAAAAACATCTTTGTTTACTGTATTAGAGTGTTATTAAAGAAGAAACTGAGGAAGAAATGAACACATGAAACCCGTTATTCCTGAAGCCTACAAAAAACACAACTATAGCGAGCATAAAGCATGGAAGTAATGTGAAATATTTAAACCCATAATGTCTATATTATACTGCCACATCAATGATATGATCTTTAAAAAGTCCAGACACCCTCTTGAGTGTTGGTGGGCTAATATCTTATTTTACTCATTTAGGCATGTTTATTGAAAACAAAGTGTATGGATATTAGAAGTCACAGTTGCTAAGTTTTCAGCATTAATGACAACTTATTTATTGTCTTTATGCCATAAGCACATGTGTGTACATGTTTGTACCACAATGGTTTTCATATGTGATACATCTTTTGTCCAGTTATATACTGTGCAAATATTATGGTGGTATGTGCATATTCTCAGCGTTAAAGTTGAGTGCATTTCTATGTAAATGACTTACTTTTGGCAGAAATTGTTACAGTATTCTTAATATGGACTCCGTATTAAAAACACATTGCACATAGATTTATACTGATTTGCAATTGGGTAGGGTAGTAATGGAACAATCAAAAGCACCTCTGATTTTAGGGCCAAAACATGACCCTTATGAGGACCCATCCTATCAGACTTTTCAATTCATGTCACCATTTAAGATAAAATGTTAATCATGAACCAGTGGTTGGGAACGACTGGCTTAAAACCTGAAAAAAACTGAATTTAATAAACCAGCCATCTAATAATCAACAGATAAAAGCCTTCCTTTATCATCCCTCGAAGGTCCTACTCCCATCCTAACGTAGCAAATGATATTTAACTATATAAAATGTAGGTTTTCACAATTCAAATGATTGTTACAGTTTAAATGGGAATACATTAAATTCTGTGGTTGAAGAAATAGATCTTGGTGTTGTGATTGTAAAATCACTTGAGTCATCTAAACAGTGTATTATAGCTAGCAATAGGGCTAATAGGATTTTGGGTAGCATCTATAGAAATATTGAATACAAGACTAGGGATATTATTGTTTCATTGTATAGATCACTTGTAAAACCTCAATTAGAGTACTGTGTACAGTTTTGGCTCCCTACCTCAAGAAGGACATTGAATTGTTGGAGGAGATTCAGAGAAGAGCTGCTAGGGTGATACCTGGGATGGTGGGATTGTCCTTTGAGGAGAGACTAAAATCTCTAAACTTGTTTTCTCTGGATAGGAGAATGGTCAGAGGGGATTTGATTGAAGTGTTTAAGATTATTAAGGGTATTGATAATATAGATCCATCAAACTTTTTTGTGTTTAGCAGTGAAAACAATAGGACAAGGAGTCATAACTTCAAATTTTGGCAGAGTAGGAGTCATCTACAATTTAGACGGTATTACTTTTCAAACAGGTTGGTTGGCTTTTGGAATGAGCTGCCTTCAAGGCAGAAAATTTAACTGAGTTCAAGAAAAGATTGGATGAAAACATGAGTAGTAATGGGTGGTTATGGTTGGGAGCTGGAAGGGACATCCTTGATGTGCTAATAAGCTCTTTTTTTTGTCCTTTTAAAATTTATGAAATTTTGTTTACCCTTAATGCACAAGTGTAGAAGAAAGAGGCATAATATACATATGTAGAGGAAAGAGGCATAATATACATATGTAGAGGAAAGAGGCATAATATAC